GTCCTATTTGTTGATTCTTGACCTTGTTTCCTGAGCAGTTGATTTCCAGTTTAGAAAATCCTTTCCTACACCTATATCTTGTAGGTTTTTGTCAATCTTTTCTTCTAACAGTTTCAGAGTTTCAGGCTTTACATTGAGGTCTTTGATCCATTTGGAATTGACTTTTGTGCAGGGTGAAAGATAGGGGTTTAGTTTCATTCTTCTATAGGTGGAGATCCAGTTTTGCCAGCACCATTGTCTTTCCTCCAGTGAATATTCTTGGCCTCTTTGTCAAATATCATGTGGCTGAAATTGCATTTACTCATATTTGGGTCTTAAGGTTTGTTCCATTCATCTATGGGTCTATTTTTGTGCCAGTACCATGTTGTTTTTATGACTATAGCTCTGTAATGCAATTTAAAATCTGGTATAGTAATCCCCCTGGCATTGCTCTTAGTGCTCAGTGTTGCTTTGGCTATCCAATGTCTTTTGTGCTTCCATATGAAACTTAGGATGCTTTTTTCCAATTCTATGAAAAATGTCATGGGGATTTTGATTGGCATTGTGTTGAATCTTTAAATGGCTTTTGGTAGGATGGTCATTTTCACAATATTAATTCTTCTAACGCATGATCATGAGAGGTCCTTCCATTTTCTGATTTCTTCCTCAATCGTTTTCTTTAAAGGTTTAAAATTTTCATCGTAGAGGCCTTTAATGTCTTTGGTCAGGTTGATTTTGAGTTTTTTTTTCAGCTATCGAGAAGGGGAGTGTTTCTATGTACTCTTTGATTTCTTGTTATTGGTATATAGAAAGGCTATAGACTTTTGTACATTAATTTTGTAACCAGCCACTTTACTGAATGTGTTAATAATTGCCAAGAGTTTTCTGGTGGAATTTTTGGCATCTCTTAGATATAATATCATATGATCTGCAAAAGGGATAATTTGATCTCTTCTTTTCTAATTATTCTTCCTTTAATTTCTTTCTCTTGTCTTATTGCTCTTGCAAGAGCTTCAAGCACTATGTTAAAGAAGAG